CAAGGAAACTTACTCACTGGTATGAAATATACTAAGGGTGAAACCAACCAAGAATGTGAAGCATGCACAAGAGCAAAGATGCATCGAATACCTGTCCCAAAACAAAGCTCTAATAGAACGACTCAACCGCTGGAATTAATTCACAGTGATGTATGCGGACCAATGAACACTGACTCCATTGGTGGAAGTAAGTACATTTTAACATTTACTGATGATTACACTAGATATGTAACAGTTTATTTTCTGAAAAATAAGTCAGAGGTTTATGAGAAATTCCAAGAATATGTTAGCATGGTTGAAAACTTTACTGGGTTGAAAGTAAAAACATTGCGAACAGACAATGGTGGAGAATATGTTTCTAATGATTTCTCCAAATATTGTGTAAATAAAGGAATTGTACATCAGTACAGTAATCCTTACACTCCACAGCAAAATGGTGTTTCGGAAAGATTAAATCGAACACTCATGGAATCTGCCAAGTCCATGATATTTTATGCGAACATGCCGATCAACTTTTGGGCAGAAGCTGTCAACACAGCTGTGTACTTACACAATAGAAGTCCCACTACATCCCTAAATATGAAAACACCTTATGAAGTCTGGTTCAGTAAAAAGCCAGATGTGTCAAACCTGAAAGTATTTGGATCAGTTTGTTTCATCCATACACCCAGCAATCTACGACGAAAGCTTGACCCTAGATCGCGAAAAGCTGTATTTATTGGGTATCCACTCAACACGAAGGGTTATAAACTATATGATATAGAATCAAAGAATTTCGTGCGAAGTAAAGATGTAGGATTCTATGAAAACAAGTTTCATGATTTTAAAGTAGTCACTAAAGAGCTAATCATACGAGAAGATGTTCCAGAAGAAAAATTAAGTGTTGATCATGAACAACACCATGATGCTGAAGATCAAGTCCCTGTACCGACTGTACCTGACATTGAGGACGAAGAAAATTTGCCAGCAGTGGGAGAATCATACGAAGAAAGTTTCATGAAGCAAGTAGAAAATCTCGAGACAAAGAGACAGAGAAAAGCACCAAAGAAATTTAGTCCAGACGAGTGCAATATTACTGAATCCTTGACTGCAGAAAACGAAGAGCCACAATCAATAAGTGAAGCCTTGAACGGTGCAAATGCAAGCAAATGGAAACAAGCATTAAAAGAAGAATACAATTCACTAATTAGTAATGAAACATGGGAATTGGTACCACCACCGGAAGGGTGTAATGTCATTGGATCGAAATGGGTGATGAAAATCAAACGTGATGCAGATGGGAATGTTGACCGACATAAAGCACGGCTTGTTGCTCAGGGATATTCACAGACACCCGGAATCAATTACGAGGAAGTCTTTTCACCTGTTGCAAGACATTCTAGTATAAGAACGCTATTAGCTTTGGCAAACAAGCACAACTTAGAAATTCATCAGATGGATGTCAAGACAGCATTTTTAAATGGCTACATAGAACATGATATCTACATGTCCCAACCAGACGGATTCGTTGACCAAGAACATCCAGAATACGTTTGCAAGCTTAAGAAGAGCTTATACGGACTTAAGCAATCAGCGAGGTGTTGGAACCAAACACTCGATAGTTTTCTGACGAAAAACGGTTATAGAAAGAGCAATGCAGATAATTGCATTTATGTGAAATCCATAACGAATGACAATGGATTCATAAGTTTTGTGATTTTGGCTGTGTACGTTGACGACATAATTCCTATCTCAAACGACATCAACATGTTAAACGCAGAGAAGGACTTGTTATGTAAGCATTTTGAAATGACGGATCAAGGAGAAATTCATTTTATTCTCGGAATGACAATTAAGCGTGACAGAGAAACCAAAACGCTATTCATCAGTCAACAGAAGTATCTAGAGAGCGTGTTGGACAGATTTGGTATGGCTAATTGCAAACCGATCTCTACTCCTCTTGAAACAACTTACCATAAGCGAACGGAAGAAGAAGAAGGATTTGATAAGAATTTATATCAACAGGCTATAGGATGTTTGACATACATCTCGACAGCGACAAGACCAGACATTTCTGCTGCAGTTAGTATATTGTCTTCATACATGTCAAATCCCAGCAAGGAACATCGGAATGGAGTCAAAAGACTTCTAAGATACATAAAAGGAACTTTAAATTTTGGATTGAAATTTACAACGAGTGAAAATGATGATGAGAATGGAGACAAGTTGTATGGTTATTCTGACGCCAACTGGGCAGGAGACGTTGATTCTAGACGTTCAACCTCAGGTTATGTTTTTAAAGTCGCAAATAGTACCGTAAGCTGGTGTAGCAAGAAACAAGCGAGTGTGACGAAATCAACTACCGAAGCGGAATACGTAGCATTAAGCCAAGCAACGCAAGAAGCAATTTGGATGAGGCGATTATTATCAGATATTGGTTGTAAAAGTGAAGAACCCACCACAATGTACGAAGACAACCAGGGAGCTATTGAAAGTTCCAAGAACGCAAGATTTCATAACAGGACAAAGCATATAGACGTCCGGTTTCACTTCGTAAGAGAAAAAGTATTATCAAATGAAGTTAAAGTTATCTATTGTCCAACTGAACATATGTTAGCGGACATAATGACAAAGGGATTAACAAAGAAGATATTTCAAAGACTAAGAAGCATGTTGAATGTTTGTTCATACTAAGGAAGTTAACTCTTTTAAAGCACGGCCATTAAAGTTAGTACGTGCACGTACTAAGTCTGTTTCATTCATATCTTCGGTTCAGTAAACGTTATGTAGATGAAAATACCACCATTCGATTCAGTGTAAAAATATATACTAGTTTATAACGATAGTTTTAGTCAATGGCTACATTGTAGCGATTTATAAGCTTTGAAAGTCAAACGGGCTTATATATGATCAAATTACGCAATATTACTAACAAATTATAAACATAGACATACCTTTCGCCGAACATAACTTCGGCCCCTTGAGACATATGCTCATTCTTGTATTCTTGATGAATGAAGCAGTTAAAAATAACACGTATAGTGTTATTTTCAAGCTTCTATCTTTAAAACGTGAGTATTCTTGCCGAATTTTGCATTTCTGCCCGAATTTGCGTTAATCCCAAACCGGAAATACGACGAAAAACCGTCAAAACAATGCGTAGTTTGTATCGCGTGACTCTGGAAATGCCAGAAATGGATTCTACAGGTCAAAGTGCACCCATACGCGTGAGTTTGACGTCATCCCGGCTAAAGGGAGCTCCTTATTGGCCAAGTATTACGTAATACAAGCGCATGCAAGTAAAACCCGATACCTTGAAAAATTCAAAATAAATATTTCTACTCGCCGTATTCATACGAAACTTTCTACACTAAAGCGCTTGAATACAAAGAGTATTTTGCACATATATCCTTTCAGAATTTTACTTCGCTTTGCGATTTACTTCGCAAAAATCAGAGAATCGTTTCCCTTTGAAACGGGCTTTTTCTTTGATTTGTTTTTCACACAAACCTTTTGGCATTATTACAAACCAAAAATGCAACAAAATATAGCGACAAAATGGAAAATTTAGCGGAATATATTCTCAAAGCCTCATGTAAATGAGTAAAATTATGTAAATAACAAAATTATGCAATTGTAGCATGTCCCTATGTGCCTCTCATATCCATAATACACACCATTGGCATAGGTAGCCCTGTATAAAATTTTTACATTGAAATCGCACAGTAAAACGACTTTTTTAGAGGATTTTTGAAGCTCGTTTCCATGGTAACCTGGTGTAAACATCCAATGAAATCTCACATCCTTTCTCTAAAGTCTATTTTTTTCCGTAAAAAGTATGGAAATTTAAATAAAGACTTCACTAGTTGATAAAATACATGTTTAGGTATCCTATCATGATGTTTTAGACATTTTGACATTTTCATCCTAATCGACCAAATTTTGAGGTGAAGCTCCCCCTTAACTCCTCTGATCGACCAAGAGGTAGGTGATTTAAGAGCCTGGTTAACGGAAGTTTTATCTCTGTTGCGTTCAAAGCATTCTTGTTGACTACAATTGTCGCTAAACTTGGTTCCGTCATTTGACACAAAATTTCCGCTTTCAGTTGCAGCTTCTTTGTCGCTACTATAGGAGCTGATGTCAGAGAATTTTACCGTGAGGTTTCCAACACTATCTCGTGATGTAATGCTATTAATAATTAAAAAATCTTCTGCAGATTTTGGGATTTGTTGTGTCGCATCCCGTGCAAACAGAAAATGTTCTGGAATTAACTCAGAAACTTGATCTGTTACTGCAGCTCGTAAAGCTTTTAGGGACGATGCCGTGTTCACTCCGAAGAGTGAACATACTGTATTTTCTCTTTCAACGTCGAAAAGAAGTAAAACTTCCGACATACTTTTAGCAGTTGAAGGAAAATAAACATATATTAATTAAGGGACTCAGGTCATAAAGTAAAGGGGGGAGGGGCTGGGAAAAGTAGCGGGGTGGGGTCACCTTTTTTCAGCATGGTTAAAAAATGCAGACACTGTTTCGAGTCCATAATTCAATATTAAATAGAAATTTAGAGTTTTAATTTTTCAGAGAGCCATACATCTGAACAGTTGAATACAATTTGAATACAATACCATTGATGGTGGAATCGTGCGGGGGGGGGGGGGGGGGCGCAAGGCCTAAAGCCCCCCTAAATTTGAAAAAGTAGAAAAAAGAGGGGAGCTAAAACCTTCCAAAGATATGGTTTATTATATATTAAATATTCATAATTCCCCGCTATGTGGCTTGAAACAGTTGTTGTAGGACGTTAAATCAAGGTTTCTGTGTGTCAGATCGCCGTCCTGATTTCAGAGAGTATATACTTCAAAATCTTTTTTGGAGGGAGGAACATGCCACCTATGCCTTCAGCAATTTGTAATATGCCACAGTATATGTGGGAAGTTCCAAAGAAAGGCCTTTTAATGTTCTTAGTTGCTCAAGATGACTATTGTATTACAAAACTATTCGGCAACAGGAAAATAAAACGCTGATAGGGTGGGTTGTAATTTTTCAGCAATAATTTAAGGGTGGGCTACACGTTTTTACACGCAGCTATTAAGGGGTGGGCTACAAAAAATGCGGACACCATATACACGATTTTTCCAATCCCCCCCCCCCCTTTACTTTATGACAAATCTCTAATTATAGTGTAACATTCAACAGCAGGTTGACTGGTTGACCTTGCGTGTGACCTCAAACAAAATTTACTACATGGAAATTGTAACATAATAATTGTGACATTGTAAACATAATAATTGTGACATTGTTTTGATAGACTATAATATAAATTCATTTAATAAATAGTACTTTTAATATAATAATTGATGTTTTTATACTCAATACCATGAATACAGTCGATGTGCGTGTTCTGGACGAGCAACGAAAACAAATATCATTTTTGCGAACGATCGACGAGAAAATTAGCCTTGTAATGCGCCGATCAAAACGAAGGTGTAACATCCCCCCCCGGGCATTTGACTTTTTGGATTTTGCAATGATCAAATTCCCCACCCCAAGTCAAAAAACAAAGTTCAAATGCCCTACATTCCACAACTAAGTGGTGGTCAAATGCCCCATTGTAAATTTAATTTGAAGGTTAAAGTATTGAGTTCTTGAGGCCAACCAGTCGAAGCAGTTTTTCCCACTTTTCTTGAAAGTCTATGAAAAATACATATTTCTAACTTCTAATTTTATCAAATACCTTCAAAAGTTCCCTTTAACTTCTCTAGTCCATTCTGGGACAACCAATTTTCAACATAACTTATATTTTGGCCACGAAACTCACTTATTAATGTCGCCATTTTCTCAAAAACTCGAAAAGTCCGAAAACACAAAAGCAAAAAATGTGCTTTTGATTGATGCGTAAATGCCTGCGGTTTCTTGTGTCAGCGGAAAGCAAGACTATCTATGCTTCATGTTAGGTGATCTAAAAGTTTTTTTAGTTGTGGTAAATCGGTCAAATTCCCGTCCTCATTATAAGTGGAATCAAATGCCCCACCACTTCAAATCTGCCAACAACAAATGCACCACTTCAAATCCGACAACAAATGCCCGCCCCTACGGAAAATCACGGAAGGTAAATGCCCCTCTCGTGCCCGGGGGGGGGGGATGTTACACCTTCGTTTTGATTGGCGCATAAACTCTATTACTAAAAAATGTGAAATTTCAAATACATTTCTAATACAAATGACTTACATCATTTGAAAGCTTGCAAAAAACTACATACGAGACCTTTAAACGGTTCCCCGGGTTTTTCAAGTTTTTCTTGAGTTATGAGCAGTTGAATGCGTGTTTTCAGACTAGTACCCAGGAATTTTGCAAGATTTCACATTTGAAAGGGCAATAACTCGAAAACCGCTTGAAATCCCAACTAACCATTTAAATGTTTCATATGTAGTTTTTTGTAAGCTTTCTATTGATGCAAGTCATTTGTATTAGAAATGTATCAGAAATTTCACATTTTTTAACTGTAATAGAGTTTAATACAAAATTCGAAGAAAAATGTGTCAGCAGGAGCCCACAAGAAATTTTAACGCGGCCAACATACAGAAACGTACTTATTAGCCTTCAGGGCACAATATGAAGGCAAAATGGAATTGTCCCACGATATGGTAAGTTTTCCATAATTTTGGTCCTCTATCTGCCGACTAATGACGTAGCACGTAGAGGTGGAGCGAGAAAGAGAGACCTGTCAACTTCAGAAAATCTCGGTTAAAAACTGAACCAAAAATGCAAGACTTGTTTTAATTGTTTTCCTTCAATTTCTTTCTGTATTACTTACTATAATGGAACTCATGTTATTTACACAGTACTAGATCAATACATATAAACACTGACAGAAAACAATTTATAAAGCAAGTCTTGCATTTTCGGTTCAGTTTTGAACCGAGATTTTCCGAAGTTGACAAGTCTCTCTCGCTCTGCCCCTCTGTACTATGTCATGTAATGTACACTATAGTGGATTGATACTATATGACAATGAAAGAGAGACTTGGAGCAAGTCTAGTGACACATTGGTCAGGTGATATGTATTCTCAGTATACGCACAACGTGAAATATGCAGTAAACCGCGAGAAGAGAGCATTTGTAAACAGCCAAATGAGTTCATCAAATATGACTAGGTTGGCTGGGTTGTATCTTTCTCCCAGGCTAGTCCCAGTGTTGCTTTATCATGCCTTATCTGCTCTATCAACTATGCTCATATGCTCGAATGGCTTGCAACATGTATGCACCGCATACCTATTTTTTAAAATTGAATTGGGGATGCAAGAGTAATTATTATAGTGATAATTATGAGTATTTTATGAATTTAATTTCTGAATGAAAGAAACGCCCATGTATCCACATGCAAAATGTTTTATAGTACTTATTTTTAGGCCTAAACACATTAATAGTATATCCAGTCATTAATTTATCTGAACTAGCTTAAAGTTAGCCAGTGATATTGTCATCTATCTGGTCATTTTTAAACTTTACTGTCTGCAATAATTGCACAATTACGGTATGAGAACAAAATGGCAGAGTTGAAAGTTCTCTACTTTGTATGCATAATTATGATTTTGTACTTTTCTTCTTTGTAATTAGGATGATTCTGTTGACAATGGTATTGGTGATAACAAGGAACCAATTGTGAATTTATTATCTTCAATATAGCTTTAAATGATTCAATAACTGTCATTTAACTTGTAAACAACAATTTTAAAAAATTCTGTGGAGCCGAAATTTCTAAAATTATGTAAAGGTGATTATTCATAATTTTTTTGGCTCCATGGAATTTTTTTTATATTGTCAAAATAATTGATTATACTAAGAGAAATCATTTTTTAAAATAACATTTGGGGTCACCGATGTTGTTTACGAGTTATACCTTATTAAGCAGAAGACGTTCTTCGAACACAAACATCAAGCGGAAGTGAATCTAGTGTCCAGTGCAGTGTTTTGACGAGTGCATGCATTTGTATTGTTGAGCACGAAGAAAAGACGGGATGGAAATTTCTTCATATAAACACTCACAAGCAGGCTAGGCTGGTTGGCAGGATTAAAGTTCAAAGATACTGCCGCAAGCTATTTTTAACAACTGTCAAAACAATATCAATGTAACAAAATTGTCCCGGCAAGCGGGATGAAATTTTCTCATATAAATACAAGAGAAATTCATCCTGCTTACCGGGCTGTCTCGCTAAGCAGGCCAGCCAGCTTCCATATAAAGAGGCCCTAACTAAAGATTGTGCAGGGAGGGAGAAAATTGTACTTTAAAGTATATTTATGCAAGAATATGTTTCATGAGCTTTTGCTGGGATTATAGTTTACACTAAGTGACTAGTAAATATTATTTTAAATCGTTGTATACTGGTCATCAAATCCAACTTATGTTTTATCTATAGAATGACCTCACAAGTGAGAACAGAACTAAATAAATGTAAATATTAAGTTACTTAAACAGTTTGCTTCAAAAAAGTTCAATTTGTTACTCCAACAAAACAGTGAATAAAGTATTATAATGTGTATTAGTTTAGCAGTTCCCAAAATAAGCATTACAAAACACCATATCATACACTTTGTAAAGTTCAACTTCGACAGGAAATGCTACACAATGATCAGGACAACGCAAATGTAGTGTATTACTACAAGTGTTTGCTGTAGGAATAAATGACCATTTACTTGATGACATGGGTGACACAAGTTGCTGCAAAGCCGAGAACAAGTTCTTCATCAGTTGCTGTTGTAAACTGTAACATATGCTCCAGGGAAATATTTCCTATTTTACCACCACCAGCTTCTCTGCAATACTTGGAAAATGCAGCATAGACTATATTCCCATACTGTCACTGATTGCATCAGTCAGAAAAGTTGGACTTTAGAATGTGCACAACTTTTCTTCTTGTTAGCAATGAAGCTGACAAACATAAAAAAATATGTAAAATGGTTGGTAGATGTTTGGCAATGCCACACAGGTTGTTAAGACCTTGTGTAAGGTTTGTCAGACTGTTGGAGGTGGTCGTGCCATTCAGAAAAACTATTCATAGTTGGTCTTCACTTAAGAACCTTGGCATTTTTCCATTATGCAAGACATTGAGAGCCATAATCAGACTACAATCCTGGCCAAAAGTCTTTGGGACACTCCAAAATTATTGCATGTTTTTATTGTTCTCTTCAGAGAGAGCCGATTTAATGCAAAATAAGTGTTTAAACCAAACCCCCCTCCCCCGTTCAATGTTGATTTGGGGGCATCCTTAACTGAAATTTTATGAACTTTCAACATTGAATTGGGGGTGGGGAGAGGGAGGGTGTGTTGCCTTTAGAATTCAAGGTAGAAAAGGGTGAATGTCCCAACACTTTTGTCCAGGATTATCTGTGTATAGGAAAGCTTGTGAATTGCAAATATTTTTTAAAGTTATGTCACATATATCCGTAATTACGCCGTTCACGAGACTTGTTGACGTCACAAATTGTTGGCCGTCATTCGTGTTTAGAAATCCGCTGACATGCGCCATTGCGGGCGCACTAACGTCATAATGATTGATTGGTATGATAATTGGTTGATTTGTTGTAAATGAGAGGAGAAAGTTTAGACGTTATTCTTTGCAGAAAGCTATTCAGCATAAAGATAAGAATTTATTGTACATTTATAATGGTGTACCATGGTGAAATATCAGCTGAATAAAAGGCACTCGCAATATATTTAAAGATGGAATCGGGAACATCATACAGGGAAATGTAATATTTCAAAATCGGTCTGCGCAGAGAATATGCAAATCTGGTTGCAAACCAAAAGCGAAGTTTTGCTCGAAAAACAAAGCGACTCTGTTTGGGACCAAATGCAAATTTTTGGTGTGATGAAGTTGCCTTTTACTTGGACGGTGTATCATTTGTACACAAGTATAACCCTTTCAACGCGGCAATGACGCCCAAGTCCAGGGTTTGGCGAAAGAAAAGCGAGGGATTAGAAATTACGACTAAAGGGTCTAAAGAGCTCCCTGGTCGACGAAGAGTTCACGTAATGGTCGCTATTGCTTATGGGAAAGGAGTTGTGCTACGAGTACCGTACACAAAAATGGACGGTCCATTTTTTGCACAGTTTATCAAAGAGCATTTCCGTATAGCTTTTGCCCGGGCAGGTCCTAAACAAAAAGGAAGGCGTTTATTCATAATGGATAATGACCCTTGCCAGACAAGTAAAGTGGCAATGAAAGCTCTTGAAGATATCGAAGCAGAAATGCATGTGATACCTCCACGTTCTCCCGATCTAAACCCTATAGAGAACATGTTCCATCTTGTGAAAAATGACTTACAGCGCCAAGCTATTTGCGAGTATCACGGCTGAATCATTCAGCGAATTTGAAAAAAGAATTTTAAATACATTAGATAAGACTTCCGTCGACGTAATATATCGCACAGTAGATAGTATGTCTGGAAGAATTAATGCTGTAATTAAATCCAAGGGATTCCGAATAAAATATTGACAATTCATGCTTAATTTTATTGCTTAATATTACGTCATCTATTATGCAATTGAGACCGGAAATTCAAAATGAAATGTAAACATGTACAGTTCTCGTCGACAGGAGCAACACTTCTCAGCAACATTCCCCACGATAAATATAGTATTATTCATTTGCCACACCAAATTTCAGTGACATTTCTTTTTGTATACAATTTACTTTCAAGCTAAGCCGAATATTGTATAATAAAGTACCTCACTTGCGACTTTCCACAGTTCTCACTTCTTGAGTAAATAAAACTGCAATATTTTGTATTTTATAAACTCAGTGTTAACGAGAACTGTTCAAAATATGCATTCAATGCACTTTCTAAACAAAACAAAACATTTTAATAGAAGTGCAGCTATGACTGAAATCAGATTAGAGGGTTATTCGAAATATACCATGACAACCAAGTGCGAAATTTCAAATAATATTACTGAGAACTGCAAGTGAGTACTGGCTGTCTCAGCTTATACTGTTTACGTTCGTTAACAGAACTTTTATTAAATATTAACTACTATTGTACGTGCGGTATAACAGAAAGCGACAATGAATTACAGAAAATTAAGCAACAATGATTTTATATATGTGTATATCTGGTCTTCAGTTCAGTCCTGTGACTCCTGTTCACTGTTTTCTAGAACAAATTTTGCGAAACAGGAGGCACACGGGTTCAGGGAAATTTGATCTGATCGTGTAATTGGCTTCCAAAAGTGGAAAAACCGCCACCTAACTTGCATCATCTCTGTATTCGCTAGCCTACGGTGTAGACCCCAGCAGAAACACGTTTCGTGAGGGGTCTACGAATAAACGAAGAAAAGCTTGCCCGGCCTACGTCATATCCGTTTTACGTTTTGGGTAAATTAACTTCAATTTATTCAAATTTCTGAAGCGTGTGTGAATGTAAATTTTCATTTGGCGCTTATTAAAGGCATTAAAATGTTCCATGGCGGGCATTGTGCAATACAAATGTGTTCTTTACTTCAAAGTCCCGTCGAATAAAAGCGATATTAATTTCTTGGACAGTAAGGACGCTGTACGTAAGGACTTAGACGACCTTTCCTTCTCCATTTCACCCGCCTGGCGTTGGTAAACAAACGGTGAAATGCAGAAGCTTCAAAGAACGGTTTAATATGTGAACTAGAGCCTAGACAATACGATAACCAACATGCACGAAACAGCATTAGGCGCTATTGATACATGTCGTGAACCAACTAGGATTCGAGCCGACTTGCGATAAAGCTTATAAAAGCTTAGCTTTTATGCCGGCTACATTTAGTGTGAAATCGACTTTGTCTTCGACTTCGGAAATTGGATATCTTGACAAGTTTCAAGCCTTCAACAGCCTATAAACAGTTTGTACGAATGACAAGAACTTTTTAGTCCGTTCGAACATGTGTTTAATGGTTGGGTATATATATATATATAGTCAGGGTATATTTTATTGCACAAAGACCGCCATGGAACATTTTAACATAAAGCGCCAAATGAAAATTTACATTCACGCACGCTTCAGAAATTTGAATAAATTGGAGCTAATTTACCCAAAACGTAAAACGGATATGACGTACGTCGGGCAAGCTTTTCTTCGTTTATTTGTAGACCCCTCACGAAACGTGTTTCTGCTGGGGTCTACACCGTAGGCTATGTATTCGCATGATCCACAGAGCCTCCCTTTATCAGAAGGAGAGGAGCATCCGATGTGGCGAAGAATGGGGTGTCCTTATTTAGCTCAATGTCTCGTTTGCAAAAGTTTTTTGGTGCTGGCAAATGAACCGTGTCTCCTTCAAGAGCTTGCAACAAGTCCGCCCAGGCAATGACTGCTTGGCTCCATCTAAAGTCGTTTAGGAAAATCACCTCGGCTTCTTCTGCCCCCTGCCAAGCAAATGTGCCAGTTGCAGGATTGCAGAAGGTGTGGTAGATGATTTTAAGAGGTGATAAAATAAACGTTTTTCCACTGTTCGCGGGGCCGTGTATAAATATATTTTGATATTTCCCCCGGCCTTTTTTAAGGCAATATATAAAGCTGTACAGAATGCCTCTACTGAAATGCAATTATTTTGAAGCGCTTTTAACGCCGTTTCAAGCCACACCCCATCACATCCTTCACAGCAATTTCCTTCTTTCGCTTCCTGCAACAATTCAATGCGGGACTTTTTTGAACGAAGAAATTTTGCTTCAGCTTCCGAAAATTCCTTGGCGACTTCCAATGCCTCATCAACCTTGTTTTTGTTAGCTATGAATTCTGCCAACGCACTTTTGCCTTCTCGGTTTTGCTCCACTGCAAGGCACACCAGCTGCAACCTTGTGGTTATTTTCTTTGCTAGAATAAGTTGGCTAACGTCGTATACAGTCAAGCATTTCTCTTTGCGGGCCTTTCTTTGACGGGTTGAATTCTTTTCCCTAGCTTTTCTTTTCTTACTTGCCAATGCTTGCTCCATTTTAGGGGGAGAAAACTAGTCTGGATGTTGTTCAGAATGCAGACATTCATTGTCTTCTTTTGTTACATATTTATATGCGCTATAATAGGTATTGTGATTGTCGCTAAAATGTACCTGTATAGCATAGGTTTCGTCCAGAAACCTTCTTACTTGCAGCCATCTTCCTCGTCTTGCCAATTTCAAAGCCATATGATAATGATACATGTTGATATCATTGTTACTATCGGTGACAGCGTGACCCTCGATGGAAACTACCCAGTGCGATATTGTTATCCCACAACTTTTCCACGCTTCCAGTACCGCATCTGCAAATTGCTGCTTTGTAGGAAATTTCGCGATATCAGCTCTGCTATACGTAATTAGATAGACGAGCCTTTGATGATAACTTTTTAAAGATACCATTCTGCCAAAATATAAGCTTTGCTTGACCTCGCTTTAAGTATAGTTTCACGGTGATGTCATTCATATGTGAAATAATATTTATATAATTCTATATATAGCGCGCGATTATATTTATATTTAGATCTAGACGTTACTTCCAAAATGTACGAATATAGTTCTATATGTGATCATCACTATTTTTTCTCGAAATAATCTCATAAAAGGACATAAAAGGGGACGAAACCCAAATTCACTGGCTCACCAAAAGATCGACGGAAAACATCCCCAATCATGACAAACCAGCAATATGCAGCTTTCCGTCATTAATAGCATAATAAAACACTTTAATTTTTTTTATGTTTTTAGACAATGTCAATAAATAAATCTTCGAGACTATATGAATAATTAGTTTTAAAATCATCTAGTGTGATCTTGTTGTTTACGTTTCATTGTTTACTGTTTATCAGCTAGGCCTATATTCCGACAATCCTGGCCAAAAGTCTTTGGGACACTCCAAAATTATTGCATGTTTTTATTGTTCTCTTCAGAGAGAGCCGATTTAACGCAAAATAAGTGTTTAAACCAAACCCCCCTCCCCCGTTCAATGTTGATTTGGGGGCATCCTTAACTGAAATTTTATGAACTTTCAACATTGAATTGGGGGTGGGGAGGGGGCGTTGCCTTTAGAATTCAAGGTAGAAAAGGATGAGTGTCCCAACACTTTTGTCCAGGATTGTAACTTTATAGTCCTCTGACAGATGTTCTTTTATACCATTGTCAAAGTATTTCTGCTTTATTTCTTGTAGACATAACTGAAAAACTCTTTTCTATAGGACTGCCAGCATCTTCTGCATTCTCGCCATAAAAAGACCTAGAGTGATACTTCTTCCAAATTAAGCTGTTCCAAGCAAATCATGTTGACGTTCCAAGCACATCATGTCGACATGAGAATGAAACTTGATCTATCATCACTGAACTCACTAGCAGCACCAGTGTGACCAAGGAGTCATCCTGCTTCGAGATCCAGCATATGTCATAATCACAAACGGTGTGGGGGATACCCCTGAAAATTTTTGAAATTGAGGTATCTGAAATGGCATTTCCTTAGATATAGGTTTTCTCGGGCAAATAGTGTTTGTCTTGCGCCTGTGTTTACGGATGGTTAGTTTCATGAGAAATCATAGTGCATTATCTAAATACATTTTCCTCCAAGTATACCCCTCTTTTCCAAATAATAACGAAATAGAATCTGATATACGCCACTTGATATAACGTAACAATTCACACATCCAGTCATAAAAACCCGAACAGTATAACTGCAGACAATACCTCCCTACCTCGCCATATATAGGTACAAAGAAAACGGCACACCAATACCCCTCTCCCAAACCGAAAACAAACCAAAATAAACAAAAGGATTTGCCCTGTAACCATCTTCACCCTCTAAACTTGTACCTAACATCACAACATCCCTCTGAGTTGTTTTCGTAGTCCTCCTTCAATGTATTGTGCACTGTGTTAATGTCTTCTGATAAGGTTTCGTTGAAACACACATGATAACAGGTTGTTGCGTAGTGATTTTCTTCACCTAACACTCGAGAAGCAAGGATTCCTATACTGCTTTCCCCGCGTTCTTCATTCATAGCGCAAAGCTTATCTACTGATCTAGATCCTCGAAGGGAATGAGAGGCACAACAATATGTGATTGAAAATAAAACAACAATATCTCTCCATAAAACTTCACACCACAAGGCACCAAACGCAATTGACCTTTAACTGCACTGAAACACAAACTGGTATAATAAACTGTCTTTTTAACAACTCATCCAAGTTCGAACGGGGTAAAACTTGGAGTCACTATTTACAACAAAAGGCCTACATTTATCATCCATACGTTTGTTTCAAATTGTTTTTATATTATTCATTTTTAAAAAAAAAACCCTTGTCACTCAAAAACCCCTCTGAGATTTTAACATGATTGTCAAACACAAAATCAATAAATTTAAATACACTCGCAATCAGACTATACTATAAAATCCGTCTCTGTGCATAAAATAAACCGAATTGTAAAAATAAATATTTTGCGACGAGATGTCATTGAAAACAAAACAACAATATCTTTCATAAAACGTTGCACCACAAGGCACCAAATGCAATTGACCGCAATTGATCGAACTGGTAAAATAAACTGTCTTTTTATCATGATCAATTTCAACATATTTCTCTCCCATACCTCGCCATGCATTGGTACAAAAAATAATAAAAACGGTTTAAAGTGAAAAAAAAGTCTGCTGCTTTGTGCTGACAACTTACACATAGACCACTTGAGATTAAATGGAAACGTTTACGATAAAAACCCATCTCATGTATACCAATTTTTTATGACGCACTATTCGCGTAAAACAAACCCTGTACAAGCAAATCAAATATACGTTTATCCCTAAGCAAAAAATGAAACCACCTCAACGACCATGTAAAAAAGCATTACTAGCAAGCCTTTCCTCACATGAAAGTCCACTATGGACTAGGAAATGTTCTACATGAATAAACAATCATGAAACATATGTCTAAATCGTTCCCTTGATAAAAAACATGTTTGCATCGAATGAAGTAATTTGCCATATATGCAAATATATTGTTCTTGTCCAAGGCATCACAGATCCGTTTCTCTTCATTGTAAAATGTGTTGTACTTCTGTACAAACACAATGGAGTGATAAATCATCTAACCACGAGGAAGGTGTCATTGCGAACACAATCCAATTGCCCGACAAATACTTAGTGGGCTTCTGAGTGAAATACTCTACTTTGCATATCCAAAACTCAGGATCCTCGCTTACACTAGAATATGTGTCCGCCAAAAATAAACCCATCCTCTTGGCATACCCCTCAAAACAGTTTTGGAATGCTATTCTATCCAATCTTCTCGGATTGTTCATCATGCGTAAATCACAAGAAAAACAAAAAAAAATCAATAACGTTAAAGCTCAGTTCTCAATCTTTGCGTACCTCTGACCAAAATCCACATAAAACTTCATTTAACATGTGTAACCAACAAATACCACCTTATTGGTACAACCAACACCTCCAATCCAGTTTTAGGTAAGGTTCGCTAAGAATGTTTACAAAGATCATTTTATTCACATTCGCTGTATAATTTCCTAAATGTCCCTTCACACTAGCGTAATTCACTCCCATATCATGTACCACACTGCTACTAAAAAAATCTTATTAGATAGAACTGTCAAAATCTTATTAGAACTGTCTTATTAGAACTGTCTTTAAAAAATCTTATTAGAACTGTCAAAATCTTATCTTTTTGCTGATGACACTAGTATATATTATTCAAATTCGGATATCAAGCAACTTGAATTTGTTTTGAACAGTGAACTTCGAAAGCTGGATATCTGGATGAAGTAAAATAAATTGTCTGTGAACATCAGTAAAACAAACTATATAATTTTTCGGCCGAGACAAAAGAAAATTAAATCTAGTTATCCAATATAACAATCAAATGATCACCCAAAAACAACATATAAAATTTTTAGGAGTATATATATAGACAAGCATCTGTCATGGAAGGAACATATTAATTATATTTGCAATAAAATCACCAAGTCTGTTGGAATTATTTGCCGATCACGATATCTACTGTCATCCGCAACAAGATTATCCTTGTACTACACACTTATTTATCCCTATTTACTTATTGTAACATTGTATGGTCTTCCACTTATGTAACCAACCTCAATAGAATTCTCCTTTTACAAAAACGAGCTGTACGTATTCTTACAAATTCCGAATACCGTGCACACTCTGATCCACTTTTTAAACAACTCAAAATATTGGATATATTTAAGTTAAATACATTTCACATTGGCAAGTTTATGTTTTTATATCATCATTGCATGTTGCCAATATGCTTTGATAAGCTGTTTACAATAAACAATCAAATACATGGTTATAACACCAGATCTGCCGGTAACTATAGATCTCATGCTTGTCGAACTAATATGAAGCAGTTCACCATCTTATACTCAGGACCGAATATTTGGAATTCTTTACCTACAAATATAACTGTGATAAACACAATCTTGTCTTTCAAGATGCAACTTCGTAATTTTCTGCTTAACGAATAAGGAACAGCTAACTCTGATATGCTATGACCATGTTTATCGAATATTCAGTAATAATATATAAAATTATTGGAAAATCTATTATATATTTTCGTAAATTTTCTCTCTTAACTTCATTATGTTTCAATTTCATTATATGTGTCTGTAACTTAATTTCAATTTCATATTATATATGTCTGTAACCCTAAATCATACTGATTAATTAAATATTTAACTTTGAATTTTTGAGATGAGGTGGCCTCTTTACACAAGCTCTAAGCTTCTTGAAGTCTCCTCACCGACTTTATTTTATTAATATCCTATAAATAGCTAACAGTCTTTCTTTTTATGTGCAAATAAACCAATAATAATAATAATAATAATAAAACTTATTCTAACCTCAACAGTATGGCCACATTCACATTTGACGTAATACAAACACTTATTAACCGAACACCCTAATTCAATCGTTGCAAAGTATACTCTCTCAGTTGTCAAGGAGGAACAGCCCTGTCAGTCAAATGATCTGCCAAATCCCGTAGCCATACTTGGTCACAACATACACAATAAAAACTACCATATAATAACCGCATTCTTTTAATGCATTGACAGTTTTGCATTTTTCCCATGTAATGGGCAGTGGTGGTAGTAATAGGAGCAGAATGGGTTCTGCACCCCGTAGAGGATACCAACAATGTGTGGAGGCGGGTACGCAGGTTTCGTTAGCCACAAGGACTTTACAAAAACAGAGGCGTACAGAAGAATACAAAGAGCCCAACTAGGAGGGGATAAAAAACATTGAAAAAAGAAAATGGATGGTTTTCTCAGTGGAATCATGAAAGGTTATGCGCATCGTGTTGACCCAGGCGGTCACAAGAAAAACGAACAGTATAAGTACACAACAATGTTAATAAACAATGCCATGGAGTCATCGTTAACAAACTCTTAAAACATTTATTCAAATAAACCATTTACATATATATCAATGTCAAATACATCCTATTCAAATACATACATCATATTTACCCGAGTACACAACACCAACAGAGAAAAATCACATTACTAGATTACATTGGTATCAAAGGAACTAGATTCTGTTCCGAAATATCACTTACTCGAACCGTCCTGACTGCATAGCTCAGTTGGCAGAGCATTGGGCTAGTATTCCAAAGCATTGGGCTAGTATTCCAAAGGTCGTAGGTTTGATTCCTACTGTGGCCAGGCATTCTTACACTCAGAGTAACATCACAAACATTTCAAATGGTTGAAAATATATGTCTGGTGTTGGATGCACATCATGAAATATACTGCCTTTTTGCAGTTTGAAAGAAAAGTATTCAAGCAGAGTCAAAGAAACTGGCCAAGTTATTCTTGATTAATTAATATTTAATACATTGAATTTATATGATTCCTTTTACCTCGAGGAAAAATTAACTGGAAACTTTAAATCGATAAAGCAGATAATGTTGATGCAACCTCATTTTCTAGTAACTACACTGTAGAAACTTTATATTATCACACATTAAATAGTATCAAGTTACACGTTTATTGCCATTGGTTAAACAGGTCACATGATTAGACCACATGGACAAATTAATTCATTTTTTAGTAGGCAAGGGGTTGCCGAGTACGGACGTTATGTAAATATCTTGAAACAAAAAACTATATAAAAGGTTGGATTAGTTCTGCTTTTTACATGGAGCCCAATATGGGACACTAGAACGGTACTGGAAAAGAAATCGGCGGTTGACAAAGGTGTGTTTAGTCATCGACAGTGAATTCAACTTAAGGTAATTCCACAGTTTTGCATTGCGCACTTTTACTGCGCACATTGTATAACTTATAATTTCGTCCATTTTACGTACCGTTTAATGAAAATATCACTTTTATGACAATTTTATGTTACTTCAAAACATCTTTGGTTACATTCGTGCAAAGAATTACGTTAAAATCAATCTTTTCAAAAAAGACATACAAAAGTATAGCTAGGGTTCCCTGTGTATGTAGTATACTTATTTACTTGTATTTCATGTTTTAATGCCACAATTCCCTAAAAAGATCGGTGACCCCCGTTTTTTAACTGACAATTTATTTCTGTAATGCATTTCACATTTCATATCTGAAATTGAAAGAAAATTTATGAATGCATGTTCTCAAAGAAAAATATGTAAAGAAATGTGAAAAGACATTTATGGATCAGAATTGTACACGTTAGCAGTTTCATTTTGCTCAAAACACATTTCGCTGAAACACAACTTTCAAATATAATTACAAGATAGATTTACAATTCGTGCTAAAAACGTCAATAAATATTGGGCTGTTGTGAGTTTGCTGTTACTCGTAATGAGCATTAAGATGGTGCCATATTGAGGTAAAGGTGGTATATTGTGATTGTCATATCTTCTTAACGAGTTCGGTGACCCCGACTTTTTTGTGTGATTTTACTTTAAGTATATCATAAACTCCATGCCTCAGCACATTCTCATTTCGGGAACAATTACTGCGGAATTACCATAAACTTAATAAATATCTTTTGTCTCTTTATGGTTAATCAGTTCTTGTGTTTGTTATATTGTTGCATTGTACTGTTCTCCGGTTTGTCTTCTTTATGTGCAAACATTGTTATTTTAATCAACGTACTATAATTGTTAACTAGTTTGTAACTGTAATTGCATATCAGTGAATTTATATTGATGAGGTAATCCAAGATTCCAATAAGCCTTCTGGTTTCTACTTGGGTTTCCCCTCACCACTTTTTGTCTTCTTGTTTTATTTTGTTAATGTATTAGTTCATTTTGTTGGCAAAATTAAATCAATCAATCAATCAAAATACGAACCTTTTGGTAAAAATGGGGTGAATTTCACCAACATGTTGTACCAGTACAGCATTATTGCCAAGTGATATTTGCTGTGTTGGTGTAGTGTACTCAGGTGAATAAGATGCTTGTGATGTTAGGCAGGTGTGAAAAATATGCCTGGCCACGGTGGGAAGACATATTTTTCAAGTTTGCCCGGTGTGGATGTACTCTCAGAGTAACATCAGAAACATATTATTGCCAAGTATTTCTAAAATTTACCCCAAATTTTCTAATATTAATATAAAATACTAATCTTTTGGTAAAAATGGGGTGAATTTGACCAACATAATGTACTAATACAGCATTCTTACCAAGTATTTCTAAAATTTACCCCAAATTTTCGTTTATTCATATAAATAATGAACATTTGTGGGAATATTTTTTTATGTTTTTTTCAGTGAATTCTTTGTTAATAAGTGCATTCTGCACTTTCGAATAACTGAACAAATAAATCCCCAGCCTGGCATGTAGCCATTATCTTAATTGTAGAATTGCTATATGTGAGGTTATATGAGCGCATTGATTTTGGCACTGAAGAGTGGATCAAAGGACTGAATTATATATGTCAAAGACAATATATGTTCAAAAAATGTTGAGATTAAAATATGCAATGTCCAATTCTGGAGAAGCATGCACAACCGCAGTGCCAGACAACTGTTAAATATTTGTCGGTCACTGAGTATTTCAATGTATAAATGCAAACGAGGTAAGCTTGGACAGATTAAAATATCAGTTACCATTATTTACACCATCACTGAAGTTGTTTGTGAGAAAACATCATTTTCAGATCATGGTTTTTAAGACCGAACTAAATGGCAAGTGGCAAGTATGAAGATGCAAATTGTGTTAGGTGGACATTTACAGTAAATATTTCCGGAAGTAATCACTGACTATCGATATTTGGATATATTATGTCATAGGAAAATTGTAATAAATGCATGGGATGCAGGCTTTTCGGTAACTACAGTAAAAACTTTAATAATTCTTCGAAATATTGCAGTGTGAACAACAAAATTAAAGTTTAGCTTTGCGTAAACACCACGTAAGTTATTATTGCAATAATAAATTTATGTGGTGTTTCCACAAAACTAAACTTTTAACTTTTAAGTATTGTTAATTCTGATACAGGGTTTATAATGATTAACCCATTAAGCGCCAGCGCTCTCCCCTTGACGAGTAAAATTGTCCGGCGTTAGACAGAGTAAAATACTAAAGTAGGGTGCATTGGGGTGCAATGCGACTCAATGGGTTAACTAGACACATGGGCAGATAGGCCAGTTAACCCATTAAGCGCCAGCACTCTCCCCTTGACGAGTAAAATCGTCTGGTGTTAGACAGAGTAAAATACTAAAGTAGGGTGCATCGGGGTGCAATGCGACTCAATGGGTTAATTTTTAATCATAACTATTTATGCTTAATCATGACAACACAAACATGTAAAAACATATACAATATAAACAGACCTGCCAAGTTTGGAAGATAAGAATGCGTGACCAGGGCCCGTTGCGAGGACTTTGCCTTGGGGGAGGGGGGGGGTTAGATTTACCGCCTGAATTGTTTATGAAGATAAGTAAAATAACTACTGATCAATATGACAGTGTTGCTTACAGTTTAATGTGACTAGGCCAATTGAGAAAATTTTGGAAATTTGGAGTCTCCAGATTGTCAGAAAGCGTATTTGGCCATGTACCACAGGCCACGATGCGTTTGACGCTAATTCTGACGTTGTTAACTCTAATTAATTCTATGTTTGCACAAAGCGTTGTCAATGAGTTATTATACGAAAAGTAGGATAGCGTCATATAATGGTAAAAAATGCGTAACTTTAAGATAATTTTAGTTATGCGTGCGGGACAGCGGGAACAAAAGCAGAATGCGTAACTTTCACGCGAAATGCGGGACCCTTGGCAGGTCTGTATAAATATAATAAAATATATATGTGTAAAAAATAAACAATTATAAAATGGCGTCTAAACTAAAAATTTTGCAACATGTTTCAAAATAATATGTAAATATGGATATTTTAGAGTCTGACTTTTGTTTTAATCAGAAAATAATGCAGTTTGTTCTACTAATACTGACAGAAAGTTTGTTAGTTTTCATCCAAATATTTATTTTTTCTAGGTCAGCATTCATCATAGAAATTAAATAATCTCGGTCCGTGTGAAAATGCTGGTATCATCTGCAAAAAGCAAACACTCTGCCAGCATTGCCAGCACTCTGCCACTCTGTAGCATTAGGGAGATCATTTATATAAAGTAGGAAAAATAAGGGGCCTAATATTGAACCCTGAGGAACGCTGCACTTAATAATCCGTTTGATATGGTTGGCGATTTATTTCAAAATTCAACAGAAAATATTTGTTCAACTTCAAGAGTTTGCATTCATATTCAAGAAAAATATTAATTCAGCTTCAACAAATTTATTCATATTCAAGAAAAATATTCATATTCAACATAAATATTCATTCAACTTCAACAAAAATATTCATATTCAAGAAAAATATTCATTCAACTTCAACAAAAATATTCATTCAACTTCAACATAAATATTCATTCATATTCAACAAAAATATTCATTCAACTTCAACATAAATATTCATTCATATTCAACAAAAATATTCATTCAACTTCAACATAAATATTCATTCAACAGAAGTATATTTGCATGTATTCAAGCTCAAAAAAGATATATTCAAGGATTTCAAGGCCTCGACCCTCACGTCGGCCTGCTTGCAGGCTACAAACTACAATTCATCATGGCAGACAATTTGGAAGAAAACGAAGATATAAATGTTTTGCAGCAGCTAGAGCAATTCTTCCAAGATATTGATAACCTGTTGAGTATGTGCGACCAAGAAAGAAATACGATATCCTGACCCTTGATCGAGAGAATAATAAGCAAGTTAGAACTGAGTATAGAGGTAATACTGAAATTATTCCATTACTAATTGAGAGTAGAAGTATCGTGAATGAAATTGGCACAAATCTTCAGATCATCCGTCGTGATTGGTGTAGGAAAATTCATGAATTGGAGTTACGACGTCTGCCTAATTGTACCCATTTAGCTGTATACTCGCTTTATCCACTACAAGTGACAGCCTCAGAAGGACCTGGAAGACCGAAGTACGACATTTCGGAGGAAATATTACTTAATCTTAGAGCCCTGGGTTACTCCTGGAAAGAAATATTGTCTCTTCTTGTTTCACGAACGACTTTGTGGCAAAGAGTTGCAGAGCTTGGAATAAGAGAGGAAACAGGTTTTTCTAACATTTCTGATGAACAACTTGACCAATTTGTTGAAGCATTTATTGATACCCATGTTTTCCATGTTGGATTTCCAATGGTCTATGGTCATCTTCGTTCCACTGGATTGAAAGTGCAGAGAGATCGTGTTCGTGCTAGCTTGAGAAGAGTGGATCCAGAAAATTCTGGCTTAAGATGGGCCACAGTAATCACTAGACGAACCTATTCTGTACCTGGCCCCAATAGTCTTTGGCACATAGACGGTCACCATAGTCTAATTAATTGGGGATTTGTAATCCATGATGCCATTGATGGATTTTCACAGCTTATTTGTTTCTTAAAGTGTTCTACAAACAATAAGAAACTGTTGAAACTTTGTTTATTGAAGCTACTGAGAAGTATTCTTGGCCGTCATGTGTAAGAACAGACTATGGAGAACACTTTAGTATGGCAACACATGCTTGCGAGATGTGGTGAGAACCGGGGATCTGCATTGGTGGGAAGTTCAACACAAAACCAAAGAATTGAACGCTTGTGGCGAGATTTATTTTGATGCATCTGCAGCACATTTTACTACACCTTTATTGCAATGGAGGAAGCAGGCAAACTTGATCGCAACAATACCTTGCATCTGTTTATTCTCCACTACATATACTTACCAAGAGTAAATGTTGCAATTGATAGCTTTACCAGGGCTTGGAACAGACATCCCATGAGGACAGAGGAACTGGTCACCGGAGAGAATGTGGACAAATGGGATGATAGACGTTACGAACCGGAATCTATCAGCTGTAGCCGATGTCAGAGATGAAAACAATGATGTCCAAGATTTTGATTGGTTTGGCCAGGATCCTTGTGCACCCCTTCCTCCTGATGATGGACTGTCAACTGTAGAGGTCAATGAAATTCAGGTTGACCTACCTGAAGAAATAATCCAGGTGTTGTATCAGGAAGTCAACCCACTCTTGGAATCTGCAACGTTTGGCATTGATTGCTATCAAGTAGCTTTGGATCTTGTTGAAAACATGCTTTCCCCTTAATTACCCATGGTATACTTTTGAAGCTATAAACTTAGGCCCATGGAGCATTTCACTGATGAAAGCAAGCAGCCATTTTGGACTGCTGGAAAAAAGTTCAAATAAAAATAGAGTTAAATTCCCAACATACCAATATATATGTTCAATGTTGTAACACTAATATGGCTATTGTGATATCATGTGAAAGTACTCTATTAATTTCTTTGAAATAAGTAATCCCATAAGTTAAAAAATGAATTGTAGGTTGATTGGGCTCTGGTTGCCTGGTTAACAACGTCCATTTCATTCATTTTCAAATGATTTACAGCTTTGTTTTCCTTATAATATTAATATGGTTACAAATTATATAAAGGTTGGACATGTGTGCTCTTTGGGATTTAGAGTCCCATTGATTTTATGGAGGCAACGAGAGTGACAAAAATTAGTTCATTCTAGTTTTTGTAACCAATAGAGCACAAGTGACCATCTTTTACTGTCTTAGGAAATGGTCAAGATCAAATAGTTTAAACTACAATTACTTTGGGTTTTTTTCTTTCACATTCACCAGAGGGGCAACTCTATTCTTGTTTAAACTTTCAGTGATAATATTTAATTCTTTAGTGACTCTATAAATAGGGTCCACTGCACTATGACAAATGAAAAGAAAGGCTCTTTGCAATTGAGTTTCCCAGTCTTGATGAATTGAAACACTGCGAGATTGGCTTGAGAGGATACAACCATTCTCTAAGTGTAGGGATGTGCCGGATACTGTTTTGCCGGATACCGGATAGTATCGGATAGTAGTCTACCGGATACTGGTCAGGAGAAAATGATGACCGGATACCGGATAATAACCAGATACTCCCATACAATAATTTATTACAAACACAACATTTTTATAGCTTAATTAACTAGTCCAATGTGGCAATGTGTTTAATACACATTTTTTGTCTCATTGACATATTTGTCTTTACCAAGGCCATATCTTAAGGCCATATCTTGATTCACCTTACATTGTTTACTGGTATTCAGTATATAAAATTCACTGCTGTTGGCGAACGAGCAGTCCACATCACCATCACAAAAAAAATATATCGTAATTTCATCGTAATGCAGCGCACGCTCAGTAATTATTCGTGTTTCACAATTTGTAAATGCCAAGTAAACTTTTCCGTTTCATGGTTGTAAAAAAAATCTTACAGTACTATCTGGTAAATTTATACCGGATACTGCCGGATGTCTAAATTTTACCGGATACCGGTATCCGGATACTGCACATCCCTATAATGCAGAAACCCTCGCCTTACGGACCATTATATTTTCCCAACATGAAGTAGTGAAAGTAGTTGTTATGGTAACACGATAATTGTATTAAGAATAGTTTAAAATTGAAAAATCCGCACAAAATATCACTTTTAATTACAAAATTATCAATTTCCCAAACATATATATGCTATGTATGTTATTATACGTAATATATACTTTGATTTAATGTAAAATTCAACCACAAACGCTTCACAAATTAAAACGTTTTAAAATGTTCCTAAAACCATTAAACTAAACTGTCTTTTATTGATAAACATTGAGTTTGAAAAAAACTGATTTTAAATTCTCGCATGAAAATAACTTTGCTTTCCTATTTATTTAAATTTTAATATAATAAAAAAGGATAATTAATAAAAATAAATACACTGAAATTATATGCTGTCTTTTTTCACTATATATATATATATATATATATATATATAGCTTAAGTTTCTTGTTTACGAAACACAAACCGTGCTCAATACCATATAGATAGAGTAATATAGTTTTTCGTTTTACCTAAAAAAAACACAACAGTCTATTTCGTCCGTATAGGAATCATCAGGTGAATCATTTTCGAAGTTACTCACCACCTGATGATTCCTATATGGATGAAACAGACTGTTGTGTAAATAGCCGGTCGGAATTAGTACCCTTCCCCCGGGCTTACGCCCGGAACGGCGCTCCGCACCGTTGGCCTCGGGAAATATTTTGGTCATTTCTTTAATTTCCTTTTACAGTATCTCCACTTTCACTTCCGATGAAAATGATCAGAAAGCAAGAAATCCATTTAAAGAGTGAGTGATGGCTTGCTTTACTTACTGTAGGTAATAAACGTAATATGGGGTTGATCTCCACATTAATTTTGCTGGGTTACTGCAGAAAATAGCAGTTCATGTCACAACACATCAGTGGACTGTAGTTGGAAAAGGTGAGATCCTTATTGAATATTTCTCCCCTTGACAGCTTGAGTAATAACAAAGTCAACATAAGATATAAAATTTTTAATGATAGAAGAACGAATTAATACAGAACAAGACGCCTGCTCAGGCGTTCACACTGGCCTGAAAATAACGAGATACGTGCTATGGTGCAAAAGGCAGGAATACAAATCTTAAACCGCAAGCAAATTTTATGGACTTTTTTTAAAAAATAAAAGACCTTTTCGGGAGACGTTAATGGTGCAAGTCAATTACTAGGAGTTACTATCGCAAGGAAAGTGCTGCCTTTTTGGCTTATGAACTGAATGCAATTATGCAAAAATTTATACTTCTACACAATTCTTGGTTATATCCCCAATGTTTCCTTCTCGTTCATCATTTAAGCCCGTTCACAAACTCATTCTTAAATTGCGTGCACGGAATACAAGTAAATAGCCAACATGAAAATGAAGCCATTGGGTCAAAAGTGGATATTAAGGTCTATTACCTATTAGCTGCCAATGCACACTACTTTAGTATTAACTCTGGCTAACGCCAGACCAATTTACACTGTAATGCCAGACGATTTTACTTGTTAGTGGCAGAGTACTGTCAGTAAATGGGTTAACAAACACATCTGCCAATGTCTCTTATTAACCCATTAACAGGCAATGCACCCTGCTTTAGTATTCTTTAGTGACTCTTCAGAATTTGCTCAGAGTCAATGTGAGTAAAATACATCTTGTATTCAAGCGCTTTCATATACAAAGTTTCGTTTGAATGCGGCACAGAGTAGGAATATTTATTTAGAATTTTTCAGAATATCGGGTTTTTACTCGCACGCACGTTTATAGCTCGATCAATGCACGTGCAAATCATGCCGACCTACAGAATCGATTTTCGGTTTTTCCTAAACAACGCGTTGTTTTGATGTGCGTTCCATGGGCCGCGCTAAAAATATAAATATTCTGTAAATACCGAAATAAAAGATGAAAATCTCAAGACACAAGCTTGAACATAACACTATAAATAGTGTTTTCGATTCTGGTTCCAATAATATCATTACGAAAAAGATATGTCCAAAGGGGCCGAAGTTATGTTCGGCAAAATGTATGGCTAGTACGTTTACATTGTTTGTTATATTATGAAATATGATACCATACTTGTATTAAAATTCGCGTCGAACTAATGTTATTGTATTAGGCAAATGAGTAGACTTGCCACAAGTCGACCTCGAACGAAATGCGTTTCTTCGAGGTCGACTTGTGGCAAGTCTAGCAAATGAGAACCATACAATAATGGTTCTAGTTCTTGTTGGTATTTTAAACGCACGCTTTATCTTTAGTATAGCTACCACAAAGCTTTTCGCGCGGATTATATTTCGCGCAGTACTAAAATTTCCGCACCCAGCGGCCATAGCCTGTGAGAATTTACGGCTGTACACAGGCTAAGCGGCCAGCGCTACGCTAATTCTCTTAATTCTAGTACTGCGCGGATTTTAATACATGTATTTAAAGGTATATTGTCGACATTTGACTAAAACTATCGTAAGTAATTCGGAGAGTTTGTCCTTGTTTATATTCCAATATATTGTATAAATTCGCTGGGTACAAATTTATGAAATTTTGGGGTTTTCGAGTCGTTTAATTTAATACAAAAAGAAAAACATTAATTCAACAGGCAAGAAAGTCCAGAGTGCGATGCAAAAATTAACACAAGTACACAACGGATGTTATGAGTCCACGACGTATATTTATAGTTGTTTATTAAAAAGTCAAACTGTCAAACCTTTAACTTGTCCTTGTTTAAATATCCTTCTATATATTGTATAAATTCGCTGGGTCTAAATTTTCGAGTCGTTACACAAAGAAAAACACATTAATTCAACACGCAAGAAAGTCCAGAGTACGACACAACGTAAAATCCATAGGAAACTGGCACAATTCTTTGAAAATTCAACGAAACTGTGTAAAATATAGTTTGATCACTGTGAAAAGCCGCCATTGGAGTTCGGAATTGTGCGCGTGCGTACAAGTGTATGGGCTAATAAACGAAAAATGCACCACAAGCATGGCATGAGTCGGCTATTACGTACATAAATACGGACTTATTACTATACTATGTAAATCATGGAACCGAGGGGATCGATGGCATTTTGGCTTAGTCGTTGCACCCTGAGCCTGCGATGAGCTAACGCAAACTCGATTTCTCGACTACGAAAAAAACAGGAAAACACAGAAAAAGACAGAAAAAGAGGGATTTAAGACACTTGGCCTACAGGCCAGTGTAATAACTTGCATGTCATAACTATTTTAATTAGCGCACGTAAATTGTCAGGTAACTCCGTAATCTTCATCTTTTTCATTACTTTAGGCAGAAAACTATTTATTTTGAGAACGATAAAGGGACGCCATACCTATACAAAGGCAAAGAACAGCTTACATTTGATACTGCTATCACGATCCTTCTCTTAGATGTGGATACAAGTAAAATTTGCACCAAGCGACCCAACGGAATTGAGGAGAATGCATGTTTTGTTATCGATCGTTCGAGGCTGCGAAATCAAGAGGATTGGCTTATCACGGACATAGGCACGTTTGAAAATCACAGAGGTAGTGCAAGGCTGTATAAGACCGAGGACGGTGAAATAAAGTACAGTGCCAAAATTAAAGGGAGAGAAAAGAACACAGCAAAGCTAGGAAGGGATGAATATTTAGTCAAAAGAGTATATTACAGGCACAAAAAATATACAGATTTCTCAAGAATCACAACAACAATTACAGACCACACTGGCTGTGAGTTGCAACTAGGCTTAGTCGAATATCGTTTTCAAGATCAAGAGCATCATGTTAGCCCGCATAAAAATCCCCGTAGTGGTAAATCTTTCGTACCCGTCGCACCATATACTAGAAAATCTATATTGGAAAAAGCTAAAGGACACAAAGGTCCAACAACAATCTTTGACGAAGAAGTGGAGGCATCAGGGGGAATATTCAAATGTGACGTCATGGCGGATATGCCGTGAGATATTAAACAGGGGAAACAACAATCCGAATCTCCGCCAGCCCAGAAAATGTCTATTTCCACCCTTACCAACAATGCTGTAATCTAACACCACATGAAGCCCAGGACAAATTAATCATCGCAGATTCCATTAAAGAACGGCTCCAATCAGCCCATAAGAGGCTTATAACAAAGGAATTTGGTATTCTGCTGTAGCAAGGGTGTTTTGTAGAAGGACATAATTTTTTATATTAGTAGTTGTTGTTGGAAGTACATTCATGTCACGTTTGCTGAATTTCTAAAGCTATGTTTAATTGGCTTCAGTTGTTCAAAAGCTGGCCCTTACCTGTTATGCCTCTGCTGTTATGCGGTAATCTGACACCATGTGAAGACCAGGAGAAATTAATTATCACAGATTCCATTCAAGAACGGCTCCAACCAGCCCATAAGAGGCTTATAACAAAGGAATTTGGTATTCTGCTGTAGCAGGGGTGTTTTCTAGAAGGACATAATTTTTTATATTAGTTGTTATTGTTGGAAGTACATTCATGTCACGTTTGCTGAATTTCTAAAGCTATGTTTAACAGTACATTTGTGTTAGTTGTTTGTTAGTTTAGCTATGCTAGTTGTTTCAAGTGTGTATTGGCTTCAATTGTTCAAAAGCTGGTTAGCTTAATCCTTGAAGATTTTTTTTCAGAAATCATGTCTGGATAAAGTTTTGAAATGAACGGACATGCAGAAATACACAAACCAAAACAGCGAGTTAAATTCTAACCAAAGGTTAGCGCTTATCCAGGTTTTTCGGCCCAAGGACTTAAGCAACCTCGTTCCCAGGCTCTTACCGAGGAACGAAAGAACCTAACAGATTTTTAATTGATAATCTAATATTTGAGACTTATACTGCAATTTATAACTTGCATTTTGTTTTGCAAGTTTGATTTGATTTGATTAAATGAATCCAAGATAATTAAATAAAGATCTGCTAGATTTTAGATTTTAGCAGATCACGTCCCAACAACCTGTGACCTGCGTTTTAGACCCACCGGTAAATGCCACTTGAAAACGAAAGATTGATAATTTGGGTAACAGGTTGAGCTATAAATTCAAATGATTTTTTTATTACATTCATGGCTATATTATCCGAACCAGCTGTTTTCCCTGACTTGACAGATATTAAATAGTTCAGATTGGCAGATATTAAATAGTTCAATAACATTGGTAGGGTTCATAAACATAGTTTCTCTTGTACGATCAGTTAAGAATGAATTGAATGGGGTATCCACTCTTGGTATCTGTCTTGCCAAGTTAGGACCAACATTAGTGAAGTGATCACAAAACCGATTTGCAATTTCAGATGGATCTGTTAATATTTTATTTGCATGATTAAATGAGGTGGGCAGAGTGGTCTTTCTTTTTTTATTTGCCCAAGATATTGATATTGCACATAAAAGAAATAAACTATTAACAAGTAATGGGCTAGGAGCCTACTAGAAACCATATGGCTTTTCTTTTAGGCCCCTAGGTTATAAATTTAAACTAATTAGCAAAATAATATACAACATCAGTTCGAGTGCTTTTAAGAAAAAGGAAAAAGAATAGTTAAATATTATATGATATTGTGTTATAGTGACTATAGTTTATAATACCAAGTATTTAACCGGTATATATAAACGCACTTTTCAAATTTTACATGTTTATACGAAGAATATTAAAAATGTGTGTTATAAACTGCTTATTGATATTTCTTATTTTTAGCGATGCCTCGGGCTAGGGAATTGTCAAGTTTTAAAGTCCCGGGGGTGGAGAATTTACTACATTCTCACAAAAAAAATACAAATCCCGGGGGTATTGCCCCAGGGGGGGTGGTAACTGCAGGAATTGATCCATGCATTAGCTTCATATAGATCTGTAGACGTTTCCAAAAATTCATTATATAGGCCTTGTGAGTGCTCGCGTTGCGTGGACACGCGCGCGTGTACAGATCGGAAACGTTCGTACGTTGTCGTGCTTTTTGGTGCGAAAGAACACAAAGAAAAGAACATGTTTAATACGAAAGGACAAGCTTTTTGTATTTTAAGATTTGTAAATTAAGATAAAGGCCGAGTCATCAACGTTGTTTACCCGGCCAAAACCAAGTAACCTAAAGATAAAACATGAATAAAGATTGATGAACACTTACAGTAAACAACGAGACTCACAAACGTGTATATTTCAAGTGTGAATATTTGTGAGTATGACACATTTTATACGGACAAGCTGATATATTTTGTGATTTACAAGAAGATATAAAGAATATAGTATGGCTATGGACCCAGGTGGTCATAAGACGGATGAAGTACGATCGAAAGTCTGCGAAAAAGACTTAGAAGAGAACATCTCGAAGGGAAAGAACAGCGAACAATTATTCGAAGACGAAGGTAATATTGATAAGTCCATTGTAATCAATACAGAAGACGATACGGGGAGTACTCGAAGCGTAGATGCAGAAGAACAACAGGCACGAATATGCACAAGAAAGGGCGTACAAGTAAACTTAGAAAATGCACGAAAAAAGACGAAAAAGTCAGGTATGGCTGTAGGATCTCGTATAAATCGTATAGATGAATTACTTAGAGAACAGTGTTGTGATATTGTGAAGCTCACTGCTAGTAAAGATGGTCTACAAATGGATATGGATGACTTTAAGCGATTTAATGAAGAGTTATCGGATTTGTTATTATTGTCTTTGAGTGATTATAATTCTAACATTGAGGATCAAGTGTATTTTGAGGGTATTCGTAAGAAGTACTTAGAGTGCTGTGCTGATGTTAAAACTAGAATAGGTGATTTAACACAAGAGAGCTTGGAGATGCTTTCGCAGAAAACTTCGAACAGTGTTAAAAGTCGAATGTCGAGATTATCAAGGGCTTCATCTGTGTCGTCTAAACAAGCCGCTGCGAATGCTGCAGCATTAAAGGAGAAAATGCTCAGTCTTAAAAGGAAACAAAATATCAAAAGACAGCAAGAAGAGCTTAAACATCATCAAAGAGAACTGAATGGCAAGTGGAACAAGAACAATTACAAGGTGAGATCAATGCTGCAGAAGTTTTACATCAAGCACTTTTGGGAGATACCATGTTGCTAAGTAGTAATACCCAACCTACATCTAACACTTTGCATGAAAATACCACTGAAATGAGTCAATTGCCAACTATTGCCAAGGATATGAACACTGGGACATTCAGTGACATGACAAATGCCCTAAATCCTACTACACCCTTAAATCCCACTACACCCCTAAATCCCACTGCACCCCTAAATCCCACTACACCCTCGAATCCTATTACAACCCCAAATCCCACTACACCTTCAACTCCTACTACACCCTTGGATCCTACTACACCCTTAGATCCAACTAAACCTGCATTTACACCTGTTAATGCCCATACCCAACCTGTTAACCATTTACAACCAACTACTACTACAAGTCCCCTAGAGCAAATACAAAGAGAGACATTTGAAATTCAAAGACAACAAGTAGAATTAATGAAAAGGATGTCGCTTCCGACTCCGAAACCGCCTGTATTTAGTGGTAATATTTTGGCCTACCCAAAGTGGACGTTAGCTTTCGATGCCTTGATTGACGGTGAAGCTGTAAACCCAGCACATAAGTTATACTACCTTGGGGAATATACTAGTGGACAAGCCCAGAAAATGATTGATGGATTGTTGGGGCTGCAATCTGATGATGCGTATAAGAGAGCTAGGCAGATATTGCAAGAACGCTTTGGTGATCCATACAAGATTTATCAGGCATACAATGAAAGGCTTAAGTCATGGCCAGTATGCAGCAAAGCTTCCGAGCTTCAGGAATTCAGCGACTTTCTGGTAACAGTGCAAGAAACTATGAAAACAGTGAAGCACCTCAAGGACTTTGACACCTTTTCTGCTATTCAAGACCTGGTAGTAAGACTTCCACCTTATTACAGCAAGAAGTGGTTACAAAGTGCGAAAGCGGTTGAGCTTGTTAAAGGAAAGTATGATTTTAACGACCTAGTTGACTTTGTGCAAAAGGCAGCAAAGGATGCAACTCATCCAGTGTTCTTGCATGAAGTTCTGTTATCTAAGAGAAAGGAGTTGTTGAAAGACAAGAAGCAAGAAGACAAGAATAGTTATCACAAGAGAAAGTTTGGCTCATTCAACACAAGTAAGTACAATGAAAGCTCTGGTCATAGTGATAAGAACATAAATGAACTCATGTGCCCTGCATGTAGAAAGCCTCACAAATTGGAGAACTGTGACATATTCCTAAAGAAGTCTGTAAAGGAACGATCAGAATTAGCTAAGTCGAAAGGGCTTTGCTTCCTGTGTTTATGTCCTGGTCATATGGCCAGGAGTTGCAAAGAATCCATTAGATGCCAGACTTGTAAGAAACCCCATGCCACACTTCTCCATTTTGAATCCAAGGAGTCTAAGAACGGGAATAAGAAAGAGAACGAAGAGTCTAGCAAAGAAAAGCCTAAAGTAGCTAATCGTGTCGTAGTGTGTCATAGCAATGATTGCAATGAAGTAACAACATCGTCTTTAATACTTCCAGTATGGATATGTCACAAGGACAATCCTGAGAAGAAAATAATGACATATGCTGTTTTAGATGATCAAAGTGACACATGCTTTGTAACAGACAGTGTTTGTGATCAGTTAGAAATTGAAGGACCTGAGACTGTGATTGAGTTAGGAACAATGCATGCTGTAGAAGATATCAGAACCCAGAAAATTAGCGGTCTTATTGTTTCATCGGAAGATAAGTCAGTAGATGTACCTTTACCAAAAGCTTATTCCCGTGAAAATATTCCAGCACGTCGACATCAGATCCCTAGAGTAGAAATGGCGATCAATTGGAGTCATTTGAGTCCAATTGCCAATGAAATACCAGAATATCGTGATGATCTCGGTATTGGTCTCCTAATTGGTAACAATTGTGTCGAAGCTATCAAACCATGTGACGTTATTCCCGGAAAACCTCAAGACCCGTATGCTATTAGAACTGTATTCGGTTGGGGTTTGATTGGAGTAACAAATCCTGTTGATCACCGCGAATGCCAATCAGACGGAACTAGAATACATTGCCATCGAGTTACAACCAAAGATATCACAACCCAGAGTACCGGTTCAACCTTTGTAGAGCAAACCCAAGTAAAGGAAGTATTGAATCCTCACGAAGTGTTAAAGATGTTTGAATAGGACTTTTCGGAAAAGAAGAGAGAGAAACCAATGTCGTTAGAAGATCGAATGTTCCTGGATATAACGAAAAGAGAGATTCACGTTACTGACGATGGACATTATGAGTTGCCACTTCCGTTTCGAAACGACAAAGTTGAATTACCGTCGAACAGAAAGCTTGCTGAATCAAGGTTAGATGGCCTTAAAGCAAAGTTCGCCAAGGATGTCAGATACAAAAGAGATTATATGCAATTTATTGATGATATGATGAAGAAAGGCTACGCTGAGAAAGCTCCACAGACTGATGGAAAACCGTGGTATATACCTCATCATGGAGTGTACCATCCACACAAACCCAATAAGATCAGGGTCGTATTTGACTGCTCAGCCGAATATGAAGGTCAATCATTAAATCAACATCTTTTACAAGGACCTGACCTAACGAACTCGCTCACTGGTGTACTTTGTCGATTCCGCGAAGAAAGAATAGCGTTTACGTGTGACATCGAATCCATGTTCTGTCAGGTACGTGTGAATGAAGAGCATCGCGATTACTTAAGGTTCTTGTGGTGGCCTGACGGAGATACATCGAAGGAGCCCGAAGACTACAGAATGCGAGTCCACCTATTTGGAGCAACGTCATCACCCGGATGTTCCAATCTAGCGTTGAAAACCACGGCCAAAGCTGGTGAAGAAGAGTTTGGAACAGATGCTACCTCATTTGTCGAAAACTGTTTTTATGTTGATGATGGG